AAGGCCCTCTATGAGATGGATTGATTCGGTGACTGGGGTAATCGGGATGGGTGTGTCAGAGACAGTGCGATTGGCACAGGGCAGAGCAGGGTTCAATGCTGTTGTACATAGGGTCGCTATGACTCGCAAGCGACTCGACGGCACATAACAACAACAACAACAACAACATACTGAAGAGATACTATGTACCAGGCAAACTACTTTGTGTCCTCAGACTTGGCTCTTCCTTCCCTGGAAGATATTACACTGTAATATTAAGAAAACATTATGTAAGTCTTACTTACTATAATATTCTGTTTAGTTTCAGCGAACTAGAAACTATCCCTAACAGAGAAGAATTTAAAACAGAGTGTGCAAAAAAAAAAAAAAGCGTTGTGTATGTATGAGCGTTTATACCTATTTGTTTATGCATCTGTAATAGATATATAGCTTATTTTGTTATTGCAAATATACATAACAACACACACACACACCCAACTTTTCACTAGTTAGGCTAAACTATTGTTTAGTTTTAAGTAGGTATCAGGAAATATTTTTGCTCTAAAGTTTAAAAATTGTCGCAGGGCAGTGGTTTCAGTTCATCTGGCTTAAGTGGCTCCAAAAAGTCTTAATTCAGTGAGAATATGGAATTTTGTTGATATTTTAGCCGCTTTGATCAGTACTTTTCTTTCAAATCTGTGGTCAAAATGTTCAGTAGTGGCAGCTGATCACCATACAGTTCTTCTAGTCTCACACGTGCGGAGGCAGTTAGTGGCGCATCCATTTCCTTGTCCTCTTCCTCATTCTTCTTCCTCTCTTGCTCCAGGCAAATCGTTTCTCCTCAGCTGGTTACTCGCAAGCCTTTGAGTCCTCAGGTGCGACGTGAGGAACTGACGTTGCTGTTGTTATGTGCCGTCAAGTCAATTATGACTCCCAGCCACCTTAGGGACAGTGGATGAGAACCTGAGCCAATCTCACCGTTTCTGATACACAGGACCTCAACTGCCACTGTCACCGTGTCAATCCATCTCATCCAGGGTCTTCCTTTCTTGTGCTGACCTTCTCCACTTCCAAGCATGATGTCCTTCTCCAACCACTGGCCTCTCTTGACAGCTAGGAAATATTAATAGAATATAAGCACTAAATATAGTATTGAGCAAATTGAGTCAGATGTCCCAAGAATCCATGACCCCAGAGCTTTTACTCTGAAGTAATTTTCTCATTCAGGACCAGTCATGCCATGTCATCTAAAATTGTGAGCATTCTTTTCCTAATACTGTATTCATCTCCCAGCTTTGTTCTCTGAAGTACATTTAGCTATACTATGTTAATAGTTTGTCTGTTTCCTTAACTAGTAGTGAGAATACACAGGAGGAAATTGTTACCTCTTCTTCAGTGCTTGGAACAGTCTATCTGTTGTATAATACATACTCGAAAGTCTTTCTTAAGTAATAAATAAAGCATGTATTTCCAGCAGGACTTAGTGCTAATTTGCATGCACCGTAATATTTTTTCTTTTCTGGTACTCATAGTGACCCTACTCATAATAACAGTGCTCTGTCCTGGGCCATGCTGAGAATCATTCATATGTTGTTTCAGCTAGTGTGTTAATTAACTTCACTGAGGGTGACCCCTGTCCAAACTTCTGGTTGCACTTTCTCCAAGAGAGAACTTTTGTTCTTTTGGCTGCCCATGGGGAAACTGTTCTCTAGCACCACAATTCAAAGCTGTAGATTCTTCTGCCATTCTTATTGATTGTCCTGTTATTAGATGCAAACCCTTGGCTTCCATCAGGCACACTTTAGTCTTTAAAATGACATTGCTCTTTAGTACTCTGGAGAAGTCCCTGCAGCAGATTTTCCCAGTGCTACTCATCTTTTGATTTCTTGACTGCTAGTACCAAGGCTGTTGACTGTGGAGCCAAATAAGATAGAATTGTTAACAAATTGTTAACAAATCTTTTTTCTGACTCTTCTTTTCTTGATGTTTGGGATGCCATCCACTTTGAAGGCTGTCATCCTGTATCTTCTGCAGCAAGTACTTCAGATTCTCCCTTTCAGTGAGCAAGGTTGTGTCATCTGCCCAAAGCAGATTTTGATGAGTCTTCCTCTGATCTTGATGCCACATTCTTCTTCAGGAAGTCTGGCTTCTCGGATGATTGGCTCAGCATACACTTTGAATAGGTACAGAGGAAGAATATAGCACTGATGCACATCTTTTAAACTGTGCAGTATTCCCTTGCTCTGTTAGGACAGCTGTCTCTTGGTTGATGTATAGAGGTTTCAGATGAGCACAATTATGTGTTCTGGGATTCCCATTCCCTTCACTGTTAGCTATAATTTGTTATGATCTACACAGTCAAATGCCTTTGCATGGTCAATAAAATGCAAGTTGCTCCCTTTCTTGTATTCTCTGCTTGCAACCAAGATCTGACATCTGCAACTTGACCATGGCATTTTCTATGTCCAGTTTGAATTTCTGCAAGTTCTCTGTTGATGTTACTGTTCTAGCTATTTTTTAATTCTCTTCAGCAAAGATTTCGCTGGCATGTGATATT